GAATATATGAGTAAATAAACAAATGATTGAACCAGCTGAAAGTCCAATAATAAAAATAGAGAGAAAAGAATACTGGTTAACTGGAATAGGATAAACAGCTCCTAAAAATTGAAAATTTTCAAGTATTTTAAAATATTTTATATCAAACTGGAGAGGTGTATGTGTAATGATAGCTAAGACTGAGGGTCTATGAAATTCCTTTTAAGAGAAACACCACAACAAGAAGGTAGGAAAGATGAATTATATTTCAAAGCATTGAGAGAAAGGAAAAGAAGAGAAATTCAAGTTAGGTTAGCCTTGATAACTTGTAAAAGAAGTGAGACTATAGTTAAACATTTTTAAAGAGCCCACAGACAAATTAGTCAAAGACCTGCTTTTTGAAATGTGATGTTTTCATAAAACTCAGCCAACTGACTGAGAAATAATCACAAATAGATACGTAAATGTATGCCATTTAAAAGTGGGGTTTGCTAGCACTCAGTGTAGCTTTAAAGCACAAGTTAGGGGAGGACGGGAGAGAAGGAGTAGAAGTGGGAGAGCCAGGGGAGACACACACACACACACACACACACACACACACACAGAATGAAAGAAGTGAAATGCCAAGAACTTGAAGCCGTTAGGTAATAGATTCTTTAGATTCATCAATATGAAGCTAAAATAGACCCTGTGAAGTCTCACAATTACCTTAAAAGGCCTCATAATCAGTGCTGTATTTTTCATCACTTGAAAGCATCTAGCTGCATAAAAACAATAACATATTGTAGCTAGAAGAGACTTTTGAGTCTAAATCTTTCCTCCTAAGACACATTACATCTTCAGGGGAAAAAATGAATTCTGATACCGTGAACATTTTTTAAACTCTTATAATATTCAGATGACACACTTAGCATTTCAAATTTGGAAATTATCTTGGACTTTTATTTTTTACTCTCCTGTGCTCATTCCACAGTTACTGAATGAATGTATTAATTCTGTATGGTAGAAAAAAATAGAAAAACAGTCTTTGAAAACTGAGCCAATAACCTGAGCCTTTTGAAGCTTAATGTGTTTACAATCTCAGAATGAGTGCCTAACATTTCATTTTGTACGAAGTCTAAACAACTACAATAACTTTACAAATGCAGACATACAACAGTTAAATTTCATTTCATGCCCAGTAAGCAAACATTATCAAGCTGTAAGCACTGTCCTCCACTGTCTTTTTAACTCAAAATCTTGTAGCCAGTGGAGAGTCGACCTGGAAATACTTCACAGATGGATGACTTGGCTTAGTTTATTCATCAACTTGCAGGCCAACAAACTGAGGCTATATGCATTGCTTTTAGGCAGGTGGCTCTATGCTGTGTTTAATAAACAGCACAAATAATTAGAAATTGGATAGAATCATATTAAAATCCCAATTAGAGATGATTTAGGGGAAAATATTCTAAAAATAAAGAGAAATGTCTGTCTACATTTTCAGTTGTTGCTATGCTTGGAGAGGGCGTGATGTAGATACCGACTCTTTGTAGACACTGGCCTGGGGTGCTAAAAGTACTGACAAAAAGGAGAAATGCTTACAAACTGAAAATTTTTCCACCTTCCTACACAACTCCCAAGTATTCTTATGAATACATAGTCCTTTGAGTGACAACTTATGTATAATTAATTGAGGCTAGAAGCTAGCATTGTTCTGTAGATGTAAGGTGCTTTCCACAGTTCTCATTTAATGTGAACATTGATAGTTTTACTCCGATGTCTACTGCTATTTTATTTATTTTTTAATTTTCTGAACCTTGAATGGAATGGCTTCTGCTAACCTGTTACATTCAGAATCATCCATTAGACATATGCATTCCAGGGGCCTTTGTTGTGGCATGGCAGGTTAAAGCTCCTGCTGCAATGCCTGCAATCCAAACTCACTGCTAATGTGCCCGGGAAAGCAGCAGCAGAAGGCCCAAGTCCTTGGATCCCTGCACCCATGTGGGAGACCTGGAACAAGATCCTGGCTCCTGGCTTTGGCCTGGCCCAGCCCCAGCCATTGCAGCCATTTGGGGAGTGAACCAGTAGATGAAAGATCCTTCCTTCCTTCCTTCCTTCCTTCCTTCCTTCCTTCCTTCCTTCCTTCCTTCCTTCCCTCCCTCCCTCCCTCCCTCCCTCCCTCCCTCCCTCCCTCCCTCCCTCCCTCTGTAGCTCTGTCTTTCAATTAAACAAATCTTTAAAAAAGTACATATTGTAAGACTCTAAGTATATCTTCTGTTGGAGTCATGCTTGATATTGGGTTCACTTACATGTACTTTTATATATACTGTCAAACCTCTTTAAATATATGAAATTTTTTTTGTTTAAATTATGTGTATGAGCTACATGATCTATGAATTTCATTTAGTAGAGTGAAGGATGATGAATCATGGTCTCCAGTAAAGTGGTGTTAGGACAGAAAGGGTTAAGATATCATTATTGCCAGGGGCCAGAGTGCGTTTCCCTTCCCACTGTCCCCAGTATGTTAGGGTATCTCTGTTGAGGGCACTGGATAGTTCTTGGTGTCACGTGCAGGGATCTGTAGTAGATGATGTGGTCCACAGTGCTATTTAGAAAACAGTGTGGCTATGACTCAATCTAAATTTCTAAGATGATACTCTCTAATCAGAGGTCTGGGGAAGGTTGTCAATTAAATATTCAATCTCAATAGTTGGTCCATTTCTCTTTTCTTAATGGGAAATAGTGGTGTCTAATTCAGGTAAATTGAAAATGATATCACAAAAATTAAAAGGTTGGAAGAGAGAGGGAAGTAGAAAGGGAGAGAGAATAGCATGTGCTTAAAGTTTTATATATGAAAAACATGAAATCTGTTCTCATTATGTCATTTAATGAATAAAAAGAATATGAAAACCATGTAAATGCTGTATGAGCAATTGCCTACTTCAAGAAAGAAAATAATTAGTGATTTAAACATATAATCTATATTAGTGCATTAAATATATGTTTTAAATACATATATGTATGTATATATGTGCTAGAGCAGGTGTTTGGTACAGTGATTAAGGTGCTGCTTGGTATACCAATATCTCATATCCAGGTACCTCTATTTGAGTCCCAGTCTGCTTCTGATTCTAGCCTCCTGCTAATGTGCACCCTGAACAGCAGCAGATGATGGCTCAAGTCACTGGTCCCTGCGAACTCATATGACCCAGATTGAGCTCAAGGCTACTGGCTTCAGCCTGGTCCACCCCCCGTCTATTGTGGACATTTGGGGAATGGAACAGTAGAAACCTCCCTCAACCCCTTGACGCCTCTCTCCATGTTACTCTGTCTTTCAAAAATAAGTAAAATGAAAAATCAAAATTTAAATATATTTGGTAACATTTTCTGTTCATAGTTGATGTATATTTTGTTGAATAATTTAACCTGATTTGTCTTTCTTATGTGTATAAGTTTTTTAAAAATTTATTCAGGGTAAACAAATTTAATATATTTTATATATACAGATTTAGGAACATAGTGAATACTTCCCATCCTTCCTCTTCCTTCCTCTCTTATTCTCTCTCTCAATTTTTACAATGATTGACTAAATTTACTATTATAGTTTAGTAAACATTTAGCTCAACTGAAACCAATTTGTTGCAGTAGCTTGCTTTCTTAACATGAAAATATAAGGGTATTGGAATTTCTTTTAAAGCAATTAGTGTTTGGGCACTGGCTGGTCAGAATAGGGCCTCAGCCTGGTTTTTAAGCCCAGATGCCTGCAGGGGCCAGGTGGTACCTGAATGAGGGAGGGGTGGGGACCCTGGCCACGTGGAAAGCACAGTTTGTTCACAGGTGGCGGCCACCTCTCCATTCTAATCAATAGCTGCCATATAGCATTGGGCCCAGGTTGCTAGATTTTTTTTTAATATATTTCACGAAAAAAATCAAATGATTTATTTGTAAACTCTCCTGACTTTTAGATGTTGTTTCAGTTTAAAAAGTCAAGGAACAACAACAAAATTGCAAACACTGATAGGAGCCAAACAAATAGATTTGTGGGAGATGCTTGTTCTGTGACCTGCCATTTGCAGCCTCTGAGCTGTCTCAGCTTTGAGACCAGAGGGTGTGGTAACTGGCATACAGCGCCACTTATCTGTGTTTGCCCTATGGGTAAAAAGAGTGAGTCTGTCTGCAGAACAGGTACTACATTTAATTGAATGGAGTGGAACTGCACTTTTCTGATTTGTCAATTGCTGCAGGGTATTAGCTAACTGTTGCATACCCAGCAAGGCTTTTCGTGTTTTTGGGTTGGCCCTCCATTGCTAAACATGGAACATTTAGGATAGAAGATGGGGAAGTTCAGAGATGTGGACCAGGGATAATGATTGAAGGGATTCTGTGCACCGCACTCACTCTCAGGCAGAGCAGTGGCTGTCTTTCTGCTCTGTTTAGGATTGTTTAGCCATGTTTTCCCTTGTTCACATCCTCCACTGCTACATTATTTCATTCCAGTGACCCAAGAAGACTTTCTGTAAATACCAGTTTTCCTATTTCAGCTCCTCAAGTATCTAGGATTGTTTTAACAAGGTTGTTACACTTCCAATCATACCCCTCCAAATATACCAGCAGATTTCAAAAAGTTTCTGGGAAAAAATGTAATTAAAATATAAGTTTTTTGGTGAAAAAAATTAAATCCATGCGTAGTTTTTTCATAACATGTATTTTCCATGAACTCTTTGAAGACCTCCCTTAATATAGCTAAATACTACATTCCCCACATGTTTGTAATCAAATTACATCTTGTATAAAAATTATATCAATTAATCAGATACTGAAATATTAACTACCTACATAAAATTATTCAAACCTAACCAAATACTGAAAAGGTGCTTAAGTACCATTTCTGGTGCATAATTTTACTTGTCTGGATTGGTTCTTGGGCAAAAATGACTGCTTGCTACTACTTGAGAAAATCAATCTGTCTAAATACTAAAATGAAAAATCACTTAACTCTAGCAGAATTTTTTTTTTTTTACTTATTTATTTATTTGAAAGAGTTACACAGAAAAGGAGAGGTAGAGCTAGAGGTAGAGAGAGAGAGAGAGGTCTTCCATCTGCTGGTTCACTCCCCAGTTGGCCTCAATGGCCAGAGCTGCACCAATCTGAGCTGGGAGCTTCTTTCAGGTCTCCCACATGGGTGCAGGGGTCCAAGGACTTGGGCCATCTTCTACTGCTTTCCCAGGCCATAGCAGAGAACTGGATCAGAAGTGGAACAACCAGGACTCAAACCGGCCGGCCATATGGGATGCCGGCACTGCAGGGGGTGGCTTAACCCACCAGGCCACAGAGCTGGCCCCATAGCACATTTTAAGAGCCGTGCCAAACTGATCTCTCCATTGAAGAATAAAGCATCCTATCTTCCTTAGGTTGTTCCTTTCAGATCGAACTGGGAGCCAAAACAAATCATGCAGAGTCCATCTATCAGGAGTTATAATAATTTGGACGTGGTTTTGTAAAATCTGTTGCCTGTAATATCTCTGGGGGATATACTTATATTTGACAAGGTTAATCAGAGACACCAGAACAGAGGTTGGGGCCAACTAGAAACTAAGGTTAGCAGCTGTTTGTTTTCAAACTCCATTTTAAGAGTAGACTTATCTGGGAAGGAATTAATCTTGAATGTAAGAAGTTCTTTGGTAGGCAAGATAATCTTTGAATTTGCATGAAAAAGTACCTGATACTACCTGCCTAGGCCATGTTAGCATCAGGATTCCACAAAGCACAGGAAACATCTTTAATCTTCTTTTCACATTTGTAGAGGTATGATGATACTTACCTTATTATAAGGACTGTTAGATAACACGAAAAAAATGTGTGTATTATTATTTAGTGAACTATTCAAGGTCTGCAATCAGGTTTTTCAAATTTCTGGTTCATTAATTTCCCATTTAAAAAAATTTTTAAATTTAAAGTAAACAAATTTCATGTATTCCTTGTATACAGATTTAGGAACTTAGTTTGTTTTAGGTGAGGGAGAATAATAAAGGAAGGATTTGGAACCTAAGAACAAGTGATTTTTTTGTTTAAGGATGTTCATAAAATGTTATGTACCTTTTTGTCAGCATCATTAAGGTAGTGTTTCTGTTCACAGACTCATGCCTAACACATTAAAAATTGGGAAATCTGTAGGAATGGGGAAAATTCATAGAACTATTAAAGGTAACTTTACGTATTTCAAAGCTGAGGTGTTCTTGGCAAATTAATATTTGCCTCGCTAAGTAAATTTCTTCCTAGATCATCATTAGCCATTATTGTCTCAAATTCGAGAACTGTCTAAATCTAGAAAAGAGACAAATTGTGACTCTAACAACAAAGTGTGAAGTTCAGTCAATTCCCTCTGAAATGGTCCTTGATGTTACATGGATATTGAATGACCTTTATACACTAAGGAATATGCAGCTGCAGAATATTATTAGTTTATTAGGTAATATGCTGACATGCTTAATTATTTTGTAAACAAATCAAATTTTTCTTGGTGCTAAAAATTTCCACTTAATTAAAGACATGAATGAGAAAGAAGGATGGAGGGGAAAAGATAATCCATGGTTAATGCTGATTAATTAATTAAAGATAATCCATGATTACTACTTCTTTAGTCTGATGTTTCTGATTGTTGTACCTGAAAAGTTTTTTTAGTTTGTTCATCCTTCATTTTTTAAAATAACAGACTGTGAACGTATTTCACAACTTCTCTCCTCTGTCAGCTTCACCAATAACTGTTTTATCTGATGTTTAGCCTATTTTTATACTTTTTAAAAAAAGCATAGTAACTCAGCCAGGTTTCTATTTGAGTTCAGTGCAAACGGAATTAGATTATTTGTATTTTTTTTTCCTTGAAACTATGCGGTTTCCTTTATTTGCTGATTATGGTATGCAGTTACTAAGCCTATGAGAAGCTCCTCTGTGAAATGCATTTTAATATTTAGATCAAAGAGAGATTGGAATACATTAATGCCCAGTGGGTAAACGTGTCATTTGAAAGCAGCTGCCGAGCCTTCTCCCTGCTGCTCCAATTAACACATACAGCACACACTTGTCAGCAAGGGGGCTGTGGGTATGGATGAAACCACTTTGCCACTCATTAATACAGTATGCAAGAGAGCACTCAGGGTTAATCAGCGAACCGCTTGCAAAACAATAGCTTTCTAGGAAGTTTCCTAACACGTGCTTTGAGATCAGGGCTGCCTGGATTAGCTGCGGGATTAGCAGGTAGGAAAAAGTAGGTTCAGGCTCTATCTTTGGTTCAGTCCAAGTACTCAGTGCCTTTCTCCGCCCCTCTCTTCTCCTCCACTCCCGCCCCTGATGATGGAGACGTTGGGTAGGGAAATTCTAGCGCTGGGACTCCACTTGCCCTCAGCCCGATCTCTGGAACTTTGTTTTGCTTTGAAGCTGTTTGAAGTCAAACTCTTTCCAGATTATTTTTTCTCTTAGTCTCTCTTTGTCGTTTCACTTTGTCTTGCCTCATTCCCTTTTTTGTTAAATTGCAGTTTTGAGAGTTTCTTGAGCTAAATGAGAAATCTCCTTAAGGTAAACCCATACCCCGGGGGGCTTTCCCCCCTCCGATGGCTGACATCTCTGCATTGATGGTGGCACAGAGGCAGATGCGAGAGTAGTGCGTCCTGGTCCCCAGCTTTGGCATTGGTCTTTCATGCTCCACCGGCTCCCGGAGCAGCTGCGCTATTGCTGCGCGCCGGTGCTCCCTGAGCTGGGCTGTGCCGGGAGAGATGGAGCGCTTCCTGGGTTTTGTCAAGCAGATAAGAAGATCTAGGAGAAGAAAGGGGAAAAAGTACCGACCAGAAGAGGATTACCACGAGGGCTATGAGGATGTCTATTATTACGCTTCAGAGCATTTTCGAAGTAAGCACTCCCTCCACTCTCCTGCTGACGTGCAGGGGCCGACAATAACCCCTGTGTTGTGCTTTAGTCTTAAATGCAAAAGGTTTCCCAGATGGTGTTCTCTGTGAGCTGTCTGTAAGTACCAAAGTGCTACATTTTGCTGGGTTTGTTGCAGGAGTAGCCACCAGATAGGATCCAGATAGTGTAATCAGCCAAGGTCTAGACACTGGGTTAATATTTTCTGTATCATCAATTGACTGTTATTATTTTAATGAGCCTTTCAAAAAAGTATCTTGCAAGGTATCTGGAATATGTCAAGTTGTGAATATTTTTCAACAACTTTTTTTCCCCTTTAGAATAGGGGAGCCTAACTCATTTGGAAGAACTAATTGTTCAAGTTGATGCTCCTGATTAATGCTCCTGATTCAGACTTCGGGATGGTTATCTGTGATTAATCTCAAGTGCTTTTTATATAAGTTCAAATGCTTTTCTTGTGTGTGTTTATAATTTTGTTAAAATAGTAAGAACTCTTATTTGCTGTCACCTAGAAGCAATAATGCCTGTAGAATAAAATAATATCTTCCTATCATTAGCTTATAAACAGTAGAGAACTAGAATTTTTCTTGTACCTGTGAGTGCTTTAAGTTCCTGGTGAGGTTTCAGTTGTTCCAATAGATTTAAAATGCTCAGGAATGCCTAAGGGCACAAAGAGAAAACAACTACATCCAGATACCTCTGAATTAATATGCCTGGAAAAAGGAAAGGTGGCAAAGATGTATGATTGATACTTTAAAAATTAAGAATGATTTTTTATGTTTAAGAATCTTTATAAAATTGTATTTCAATCCTAATTCTTTCTGGCCTTTTAATGTCTAACTGTGACTGCATCCCATTTACCACATCTAACCATTGATTAATAAATGATTTAGATTCCAACTTCTGTGGTATTGAAAGCCAAGAGAATCAGTTCTAAATGCCAGAAATTCAGTTGCGATTGGTTAAGGCTAAGGGTTGAAAATTCATGTGGTGACAATAATACAGTAATGCAATATTATAATTCTTTGATACTGGCTTGGGTAATATGGCTTTGTTGCTTTTAAAGGGTAATCTCTGAGTTTTAGAAATGTTCTCTTTTATAGTGCTTTGATATGAATAGTTTTTCTTAACGTAGTGATAGTCTTTGTTTCCTAAATTTATTATCCATAATATATTTTAGAGTTCAGTTAAGATTTGTGTCACATTAAGAAACACTGTCAGTTTGCGTTCATGATGGTAATTCTGAAAACTTGGAAATGGAGAGAAGAAGCTTAGGAACTTTTAATTAGGTTGGTATTCATTGTATAGATTCCTAGCAATCAATATATACTGGGTCAAGTTCACCCCTTCCCATGTTTGTATGGTAATATGTTTGTACAAATGTAATTAAACAGTGACTGTCAGATGCCTGCATTCTACTAGTTTTTGTAAGAATTTTAAAACAGCAGAAATACTGATTTGTCAAATGTGCCTCAAGGAAAAATATTTATAAAGGTATTCAAGAAATATTCTCTAACTCAAAGAATGATATAACTAAGGTAATAATCTTTTTATGTCAAGTGCAATAACTCAAAGAGATTCATATCTTATCTGGTTTGTCAAAGTCATGCTAAGGATAAGATGTTCATTATCAGAAGTCATTGGCTTACATATGAAATTGACTTGTTTCCCTGTGAGTTATCAGAAGCTCTCGCTGTGTGATACTGTATATAACTTTTTGGAGTTAGATGCCTATTATGTTCTCAAACTGCTCTGTAACCAGCAGATTGTGTCACAGTGGACTCAGGCACTTGGTGTTTGGCATTTCACCAAATGTTAAATAGCCAGGGCTTTTAAAGAAAACTTTTCACCTAATGACCTTTCAGTGCATCTTTCTAGCCCTGTTTCAGAGCCTCCATGAATTGGGCAGAAAACACATCCACTTATATGTGCATATGTAGCCAAGTATTAAGAAATGAAATGGATCGGATCCTTAAACCAATCTCTCAAATGGGTAGTTTGGTTGAATTCAATTTCATGTATAGTATATCTGTTATAATTAGTCTTCGGCACAGTCTGAAAGTTTATGCCCTGTGTCTTTGCCTGGATGACTCAGAACTGTTTATATCAAGGCTCAAAGCTTGGTGGAATTTAATGATGGCATTCACAGCTTGGTTAATGGTACCATTGATAAACCAGAAGTCTCTTTCTCATTTTTCTCTCTATAGTGTTTTCTTTGTTTCTTGAAAGAAACTTAACTCTCTGACTTGCCATTTTTTTTTCTATTGGTTCAGATCAGTACAAGGACTTTATCTATATAATAGTGAAAGATGGAGCTAGAAAGAGCCCCTTAGCAAATGTCCCATCCCTTAGTAATCTCCAAGTGCATGCTGATGCTTAACTTTATCCTAAATTATGTCTCTTTTTACTGTGGGTTCTGATTTATATTTTTACCACCCTTGCCTTTCCCTTAAATACAGTATTCTCATTAAATGCAAAAGTCTCAATTAAAATGTTAGTAAGGTCAGATGCTATGCAAGATAACTTATTCTAAAAATGGATAATTTTCTGTAACCTCATCAAAATAAATTTTAGCAATGATGATAACAGATTGATTTTTAAAATCTCACTTGACTATTTATTGACTTGACATATGTAAATGTATTAGGATGGCTATGTTTGGTTTTTAAAAAAACTGCTTTCATCACTCATCTATCCTTTCATTTCTAGAATTAGAGTTTAAGTAAACTAGACAGGTGCCTTGGGCAAATAACTAAGTATTTCTTAGCTGTACCTTCATAAAATATGACAAAAGGGGGTTTATTTCTAATAATTTTTTGAGTTATGAAGCTTTATTATTCCAAACTTTAATTAATTTCTAAAGCAATTAAGATAAAGGTGTTGTCTGAGAGTTTTAAATGGGATTTAAACCACAACAAAATTCACCTGATTATCCTGAGGGAATTGTTTTTCCGGCAGGAATTGCAAGTAGAAGAATTTCTGTCCTTTTATAATCATAATCATTGAATATTAAGGAGATTTGGAAAATTTTGATAAACCTATAGGATTCTTGAATATGTTGGTAAATCCTAGACAGCAGCTTTTATTTAATGTATCTACCAGGAAATATCATTTCCTCTTTGAAATTCTCACATAGATAATTCATTTGGTATTTTTCCTTAGGACTAACATGCCTTGATGATAAAACTGTTATACACTGTTATAAACCTGAATGTAACAAAAACCTAGAAGAGGACCTGAAAATTCAATTTGATTTTGTTTTGTTTTTCTCCAAATGCTGTATTGCGGCCACATCTTTTTAAAGACTGTGGCAGAGGGTGGAAAATGTTCCCCCCAAAGTTATCCTTAGCAAGGTCAGAAGTGCCTGCCTCCCCACTACTTGAGAGCTTCCATTCTTATGAGAATAGCAAGGGAGTGGTGACTCCGCCCTTCTGGGCTCCCAGCTTGTTGTGAAAACAAATTAGGTATCCAGCCCTTGTGGTGCTTTTTTTTTTTTTTAATCCTGAGCAAGCCAGACAGAATAAAGAATTGTAAATTAGATCTTTTGTTGGGGTTACCCCCAGCTTATTGATTGAAATTTTCTTCCCCAAAATTGTACTTTAAGTGCTACCAGATCCTTTGGGTTTTGTTTCTCTTTCAGCTCTCCTCCATGGCACTCTGGCTGGAGGTCTTGGACTCTAATAAATCTTGCTTGTAAACCTTTAAGACAAAAGAAGGCTGTGGCAGGTAGCATTTTAATTAGCCCATCATATAAAAATGAGAGCACCAGACCATCTTGAAGTGTACATTTCTATTAACCATAGTAAGTGATATTCCAGATATAAAGCCAGTATTATCCATTTCATAATAAGCTTTCTTTTAGCCCTGTTCTCATCTGTGACAAAAACCTGACCTGCCATGTAGTTGAATTACTGGAAAAGGAGGGATTTGTTTATGTCTTACAAAGCAGGGTATGTAAGCCTCAATCATGTGTAGCCCTGCCACCTTTTTCACATGTATGGTGGTATTGAATTAGACACAAGCTTCCTCCTTGACCTGCTCTTCTCAGTTTGCATCCTGACTCCCCTACCTCCGCTGGAGGAAAGCTGCCCAGGGCAGCCATTGGTGACTTTTTCAGTTTTCCTCCTGTGGGTGGGGACAGGAATACCTTTTTAGGCCATTGTGAAAGGTCCTTTGTATTTACAAATTATTTCATTTGTTGTTTTGTAACTGCCTATTCAAATAAAAGTTGAGCAACAATTGTGATATGGGATGTATATATTTGTAAGCATTTTTACCTAAATTATTTTTATTAAGCAACATATCCATTTAAAGTCACTAGTTAGGCAATGGAAGCTTTAAAGTAACTTAGAAGTTCAAAGTACATTTTAAGAGGGATGCTGTACTTCCTTGTATTTCACTGAAAAGTGCTGGGCATTGTCCTTAGAGAAAGGCATTTCCATGGTGGGTATTTGTAGTGTGAGAATTTTCACGTTTTGGTGTCGGTGATACAATAAATTTCTTCTCACTGGTAACTTTACCTATATTTTTAAAAATGACAATCTGAATTAACTTTTTTTAAATGCATTTTCATCTACTCAAAAGGAGGGGTGGGAGGATAGAGAGAGAGATTGAGAGAATGAGAATGAGAATCTTACATCTGCCAGGATCAAGATGAAACAAGGAGCCCAGAACTCCATCCTGATCTCCCACATGGGTGGCAGGGGCCCAAGCACTTGGGCCATCACCTGCTGCCTCCCAGGATGCATAGCAGGAGCTGGATGAGAAGTGGAGGAGCCAGGGCTAGGAGTGGCACTCTGATACAGGATGCAGGCATCCCAAGTGATGACTTAACCTGCTGTGCCATAACAGGGTCCCTGAATTGGCTTTATTTTTTTATTCTAGAGTATAACAACACTTCATACCATAAAATAAAATAAGTGTTCCTTAATTACATGGTTTTTTTTTTTTTTTGTAAATGCATATAACCATTTCCTTTATGCTTC